GCACAGTAGAGGGGTATCAGAGAGGAGAAACAGCCCTTGAGAGGAAGCAGGCAATGAACTATCAAGCAGAAAGCAACAACAGCAACAACAGCAGCACTCGTTCTGTCTCCTATATTCGATCAGGGCTGCAAGTAGCACTCACACCCAGTGTGCAGTACCCTTAATCCTACCACTGCTCCATGAGTCAAGCCCACCAGCACACCCTCGACTCCAGCATCACACACTATGCATTCAGTCCCCTCTGAAAAGCGCCGCATATGACTGCATCAGGCTTTGGGGAATGACTAGACAGAAGCCATGACAATGTGCAATGAACTTATCATATCTTTCTCCGTGCTCTTAAGATATCTCTTCCTTATTGTCCTCTTTCTTTCTTTCTTTCTTTCTTTCTTTCTTTCTTTCTTTCTTTCTTTCTTTCTTTCTTTCTCTTTCTTTCTTTCTTTCTTTCCTTCTCTCAACAAATTAGTAAAGGAAAATATTAAAATAGATGGATTTAGAAACCCATCTAACCATCGTAGAACATTTCTAATGTGAAAATGAACAAACAAGACAAAACAAAATGAAAAACCTTTATCTGCATGACAAAGAACCAGACATACTTTTAAACAGTATTTCCTAATTGGAACTCAGCTTCCTATAACTTAAATGTACCTTATATAAAATAGCCTTTGATTTTATCTAATATATTGGTTCTTTCAATCACAAATGATTATTTACGGCTTAGTATGCAGTAGTATGATTTCAGAAAATAAATCTTTGGACAAAACACAAAATATACCTTTTTTGTAGTTTAAACTCTATAAAACTTAACAGTAAGAAAATTACAAGTCCGTAAGCACTCAAAATAATTTAAAAGATCAAAGTATTTTTGAGCAATTGCAAATATTATGAAGCATATAAAACTGGATCATGTCTAGAGGCCAGTGGAATTGCTTTGTTTCAGTGAATAATTCAAGTCTGTGAGGGGAAAGTTGCAAGTAAAACTTGACTGGATAAGTAGTACCCCCTCATGGTTCATCTGTGAAATGTATACGGAGCAGACAGAAAAATTCATAGAAATGATGAAAAACCCTTCAGTCTCACAGGAAGTTTTATGAAAAATGTAATGAATGTTTAGATTTTAAAACAACATTACAGTAAAAATGTATCACTCAAAATACTCTCCATCTCTTTGAACTAATTTATCCGTTATTGCAGCCTCTTCATGAAGCAGGTCAAGTTCTCTTTTGTGAGTGCTTTGGGTTGTATTTTTACTTGGAAGCAGCATTCACTGCATTTTACAAAAGCTCACAAAGAATCTCATGAAAGAAGTTTCCAGAACTGCTCCAAAAGCAGCAGGAATGATGCAGTAAGTGTGTGTAAATCATGGCAGAAGTTTTTGAGGGGTTCTACAACAATATGTCTTTTATGCAAGTGATTATTGTTTAGATGTGAGCATTCCCATTGGTTTCCAATTACACCTGATGTCCTAGTAGAATCTCCCAATATCCAGTGGACAGAGGGAGAAAGCAAGAAAATTGGTAGCAATTGAGTTGAAGAACAGAATCCAAGAGTAGTCGTGGAGGAAAGTGAATGAATAAAATAGCACAAATGAGGGGGCGGAGCCATTTTTTCCTTGATGTTATTTTTAAAATGACTTGCATGCCTAAATCACAACTGACATAGAATTCAGGTCCTCTGTGATTTGGGAGGCCTTATCGGCTTCTGCAACCATCCTAGATTAACAATTGCTTTGATTTTTAGGAAATACTCTGGCTCCTGGACCAACAGTGTTCAAATACTCACATTGATTAAAATTTGCAGGTATGCTGACTTGCTTGACAAAAATTCCTAAAAATACCTAACTTCGATTTTTCTGAAAAGAGTGGCTTAGTGACATCAGTGCAAGACAATCTCACTTGTTTTTTTCAAAGCAATGTTTGTGCTTCTATGATATTCAGATCTTTGGATTTGACCTTTCTAGACAGAGACCTCAAAAACTCAGCTTGATCACACCTCTGGTGTGTAATTTAAAAGTAACACCCTGCAATTTTGATGGCTCATTCAATCAATCCTGCATGGCCAATTAGTGTACATCAATAACTACTGCACATTTGAGGAGAGAAGGCATGTGGGATTCATAAATTAGGACTTAATTAGTCATCAACAAAATGCACTGATAACAGAACTAGTGAGCATGCAGCACCACGGGTTTGATGAGCACTTGCTCAGCTCCAGGCAGCCTCAGCAATCCTGGCAGGGAAGCGACAGCCGTACTTTCTGATTCTGCCTTCTCATCATTTGTGCCGATTATGTCCTCCATAAATGAAATCCATAAATGCAGTTATAATAGTGTCATGTAATATTCGATTTCTGTTTTACAGTCATAAATGTAATAAAGAGATAATAAAACTGATAGTTCATTAAGACAATCTATCCAGTACTAAAAATAACAATTATTAAATTTAATATGTAGCACCATCTAGTGAGCATTGAGGGAAAT